TTCCAGCATTTTTCTTTTTATGCAAGATTCTTTTGTCTGAGGTATTTTGCATGTCTATGTAAATTTTAGGATTTTTTTTTTCTATTTCTGTGAAAAATGTCTTTTGTAATTTAATGGAATTGTGCTTATTCTGTAGATTCCACTGGGTGATATTTTAACAATATTCTTCTAGTGCTTGGACATGGGATATCTTTCCATTTACATGTGTCTGCTTTAATAGCTTTTATCTCTGTTTTATAGTTTTTATTGTGGGATCTTTCACCTTTTTGGTTAAGTTCATCTCTAGGTATCATTTTTTGGTGGAGGTAGTAGCTACTGTAATGAAGTAGCTTTCTTGATTTCTTTCTTAGGTGTTTCACTATTGGCACATTGATGTGCTACTCATTTTTGTATATTCATATTGTGTCTTTCAACTTTAGTAAATTTATTTGTTATTTCTAGTCGATTCTTTTGTGTGTAGAATCTTTAGGATTTTCTCTCTACATGTATGTGATTATTTTACCTGCAAATAGAGACAATTCGACTTCCTTTTTTCCAATTTGGGTGCCTTTTATTGCACTCTCCTAACTGCTCTTCCAGTACTGTGATACATAAAAGTGGTAAAAGTAACCAAACTTGTTCCAGATCTTAGAGGAAGAGCTTTTTAACTTTTCCCCATTGTTTATAATGTTAGTGGTATTGTAGCAGGAACATCTGTGGGAAACAGATTTCCTGAACACTGAATAAAGGAGGAAAGAGTTTATTCAGCTGGGAGACCAGGCAGTAATTTGTTGAAAGCCCAGCTCATTTAACAAAGGAAGGTTCTGCCTTTATATAGGCTTATACTTTAGATGTTACACGTGGAAGAATCTTAGGTTTATAGCTTTAGGAATCACATATCAAAGGGTTCGGTTTACAGTTTTAGGACTCACATGTGAGAAGGTCTCTGTTTACAGTTTCAGGAATTACATATGAAAGGGTCCTGGTTTACAGTTTTAGGACTCACATGTGAAAAGGTTTCTGGTTTGATCTTGTTTTAAGTAAAAATAGTGTCTTCCAGAGGGTTTCCCCAAGACCAAGCGTGTTATTTTCAGGAAGGAGATTCAGGAGGCGCCAGCTGGCCTGCTGTCTCTTCTATTGAGCTGCACGGTGGATGACAGAGGGGGAGGGAATCCTAGATGCCTGGGTCTCCTTCCTATTTTTGTCATATATGGCCCTAACAATGGAGATGGTTCTAGTTATGGGTTTGGCATAGAGGCTGATTGCTGTGTTAACAAAAATTCCCATCCCTAGTTTGTTGGGCATTTTTACGATGAAATGGTGTTGGCTTTGTGGAAAGTACTTCCTGCATCTGTGGAGATGAGTACCCGGGTTTCTTCCTTCTGCTTATTTGATGTTTATTTGCAGGGATGGCTTTAGTATGCAAAATCAGCTTTATTTTCTGAGAAAAGGATGTAATGATCATGGTCTGTAATCCTTCAAATATGGCTTAGTGTCAAATTATGATCATTTTGTTGAGCATTATTAATTGTATAATTATGCTAGACATTCATCTATGCCTTTCTTGTTCTTGTGATTTTATTTCCTAGTGTCATTTAGTATTAAATTGGGGATGAGACTGCCTATAGGTTGGTTTTGTATTTAGAGTATTAAGGGTTAGAAGTTTGGAGGATAAAACTGAGCAGAAATGGGACATACCTTAGGGACTGTGGGGAAGAGTGGCGTGAGGTCAGGGTCAGTCAGGGTGTAGGGTTAGCAAGAGAGTGCCTGTAGCTTCACCAACAGTGAACTTTATCCATCCTTTTAATCTTGCAAACCAGGCAGGCAAAGATACTTCAGAGTTTTAATTGGCACTTCCTTGAGTTCCTTGTTGAGGCTCAAACTCAGCAGGAGTACCTGGGAAGAAATTAGAACGCAGAATCCAGAAGGTCGGAGTGCAACTTTAGGACAGGGCATCAGCCAGCGGCTGAGCTGCAGAGGTTCCCAACTTATTTCAAATTTTGATGAAAAATAACATGTTTCATACTTTTATCTCACAACAAAACTGGACTTTTACAAATTTATATGGCGAATTTTATATATTTTGGGGTTAGAGATTATCATCTTCTAGCTTTCCCTAATATTTCCCTCATATTTTGCCAGCCTCCCAAGTAAATCCCAGTGCAGCAGGAGCGGCCTCGGGAAAGGGATCTCCCGAACACCGAATAAAGGGAGGGGGGAGTTTATTCGGCTGGGAGAACAGACAGTAATTTGAAAACCCAGCTCATCTAACAACGGAAGGTTCTGCCTTTATATAGGCTTATACTTTAGATGTTACACATGGAAGAATCTTAGGTTTATACTTTTAGGACTCACATGTGAAGAGGTTTTGGTCTAGAGTTTCAGGAATCACATGTGAAAGGGTTCCGGTTTACAGATTTAGGACTCACATGTGAAAAGGTTTCTTTTTTGATCTTGTTTTAAGTAAAAATAGTGCCTTCTGGAGATCTTCCCCAAGGCCTAGCCTGCCACCTACAGGAAGGTAAAACCGGATGCATCAGTTGGTCACAGCCTCTGCTAGCCTCATAGTCTTTGTTTTTTATTGTTAGTTTTGAGACGAAATCTCGCTCTGTTGCCCAGGCTGGAGTGCAGTGGTGTGATCTCGGCTCACTGCAACTTCTGCCTCCCAGGTGTTGAAAATGCCCACTTTGAATGAAGAGACTCCCCAAACAGGCTTTGGGCAGTGGGATAGGAGTTGGTTTTATAGGTTTGGGGTGGGCAGGGGAAAGTTACAGAGAGTAAGATCAGTTACAGTGGTGGGGGTGGGGGCACGGAGTATACATTACCATAAGTTTAGTTACAATGATGGCTGGGGGTGAGGGAGAAGGGCAGTGCAGATGACAGGATGGGTGAGAGGTATTCACATTATCATAAGAACAGTTAAGATGGCAGGGTTGGGTGAGGGGCTTGTGCGGGGAAGCTCCGCTGGGCTGGGTGACCAGGGACAATGGTGAATGCGGGCGGTGGGTGGGAGACGATCAGGAGGCAAGCAGGACTTCAGACTTTCAGGTTCCAGGTTTGCATATGGAGACCTGACACTGGTTCAAGCAATTCCCTGCCTCAGCCTCCCGAATAGCTGGGATTATAGGTGCCCGTCACCACACCTGGCTAATTTTTGTGTTTTTAGTAGAGACGGGGTTTCTCCATCTTGGCCAGGCTGGTCTTGAACTCCCGACCTCATGATCCACCTGCCTCAGTCTCCCAGAGTGCTGGGATTATAGGTGTGAGCCACCGTGCCTGACCGCCTCTTAGTCTTTGTCTGAAATACAGGGGCAGAGGTATTCTTCCCAGGGCGGTCCAGGGTCCGGTGAGACAAGTTATGGAGATCTATCAGCAGAATGACTCGGGCAAGGGAGAGGCTCCACAGCTGTCTTCTTTCCACAGTTGCTCAGAGCAATTGTGAGTGAGGCTGGAAAGCAGCCCACGTGGGAGAGTGGCCGTGTACATGGAGGAGGTCGCCTGGTGAGGAAGGAGACCCAAGCATCTGAGATCACCTCCCCCTTGACTTCCACACTGCATTTCAATAGAAGTAAAGGCTGGCCGACCGGGCACCACCTTATAGATCGAAGGCATGGTGTGGGGGAATCATTCTGGAAGGCATTAAGTTCAAACCCCCACCCCACGCCTACTCCATGGACCAAGACCCTTTCACATGTAATTTCTAAAAATGTAAACCCAAGACCCTTTCACCTGTAACGTCTCCAGTTGTAAACCTGTATAAAAGCGGGGCTTCTGATTGTTAGAGGAGCTTGGCCATCAGCCAGTTATGCCGCCTTGCTCCGGCGCGCCCTCTGCTGGTGGCCGGGGGCACTGCAGGGCCCCGGCGCTCACAGCGCTGGCCGCCCTCTGCTGGTGGCCGGGGGCACTGCAGGGCCCCGGCGCTCACAGCGCTGGTGGAGGACGCACGCCCTCTGGTGGCGGTCCCGCTGCACCACTTAAAAGTCGGAGCGCAGAGTGTTCAGCGCCATCGTTCTGGAAATGCAAACGGACACTGAGCCCACTAGCCTGTGTGTTTCTAAAAAGGAAGAAGGGAAAATTAATTGGAAACAATAGGAATGAGATAAACATGGCTGCACATTTTACAACATGGAAAAGTTCACTCAACATAGTCTTCATACTTAAAATGCAAAACTGTCAGAGGCATCTTAACCACAGTGACTTTATTTTAAATAAAGGCTTTAGAAAAAGTTAAATCTGGGCAGGGTGCAGGGCTCATGAGTGTAATTTCAGCACTCTGGAAGGCCAAGGTGGGAGGATCACTTGAGATCAGGAGTTCAAGACCAGCCTGGGAAAATAGTGAGACACCCATGTCTACAAAAAATATAAAAATTAGCTGGTGTGGTGGTGCGTGCCTGTGGTCCCAGCTACCCAGGAGGCTGAGGCAGGAAGATCGCTTGAGCTCAGGGGTTTGAGGCCACAGTGAACCAGCCATCATGCTCACACCACTGCACTCAAGCCTGGGAGACAGAGTGAGACACATTCTCTCTCTCTCTCTCTCTCTCTCTCTCTCTCTCTCTCACACACACACACACACACACACACACACGCTAAATTTGTTGGATCATATATTTAGGGGTTGAGCACCTTTGGTTATAAAATATTTACGGTTTCAGGAACAAGTTAATAACTAAATAAAGACCCAAAACATATAAAAATATAAGAGTAGGTTAAGCAAAAAGCATTCTTAATTTAAACATAAGTTTAACTTTAAAGATAATAGTCCACTCATAAATTATTGTTAAAATCAATAGTAACATAGAAAAGTACCAATACGAATAGCCTGACACAAACTGATCACAGGCCTTTATAAGAGACAACACTATTCTTAATAACCTCCATAAACAACATTAAGGCACCATGGCTCACGCCTGTAATCCCAGCACTTTGGGAGGCCGAGGAGGGCAGATCACTTGAGGCCAGGAGTTAGACACCAGCATGGCCAACATGGTGAAACCCAGTCTCTATTAAAAATACAAAAAAATAGCTTTGCACAGTGGCAGTATCATAGCCAATGATATGATTTATCTGAGGCATGATGATTGCTAATTGAAAACTTTTCCCAATACCCCACCGTGACGACTGGAAATAGAGTCAGCATTGGCAATTATTGGCAGTCTCTATGGGGACTGAATCAAAAATAAATAAATAAGTAAATAAGTAAAAATAAAATGGAAAAGAAATACAAAAAAATTAGCTGGGCATGGTGGTCCACACCTATAGTCCCAGCTACTTGGGAGGTTGAGGCAGGGGAATCCTTAAACCCAGGAAGCAGAGGTTGTAGTCAGCCGAGATCATGTCATTGTAACAAGAGTAAAACTCCGTTTCAAAAATAATTTTTTTTTCTTTAAAACAAGTGTGTTCCTCCCCTTGCTTTCTGAGGATTCCCTGCTCTGTAACTTAGTAGTGGCTAATAAACTCTCCTAACGTCACTAGACTCTGCAGCTCGCCATAAATTCCATCTCGTGTGAGATCCAAAAACCCGTTGTTGGAATCTCGGACAAGACCCCTTTTCTGGTGACAAAGCTATACTAATTCTTTCTTTTCTTTTTTGAGATGGAGTCTTGCGCTGTTGCCCAGGCTGGAGTGCAGTGGCGCGATCTCGGCTCTCTGCAACCTCCGCCTCCCAGGTTCAGCGATTCTCCTGCCTCAGCCTCCCGAATAGCTGGGATTACAAGCGCCTGCCACCACGCCTGGCTAATTTTCGAATTTCTAGTAGAGACAGGGTTTTACAATGTTGGCCAGACCAGTCTCGAACTCCTGACCTCAGGTAATCCACATGCCTAGGCCTCCTAAAGTACTGGGCTTACCAGAGTGAACTACCTTGCCTGGCCGGCTTGTATCCTTGGTGATCGCTTGGATATGGAGGGTGGAGGAGGAGGCGTGTCACGCAGATATCGCTCTTGGATTACCACCTGGGATATTAGGCACAAGGCTCTATTATTGGTTCGAACCCTGAGAGCGCCAGCAAACAGCTCGAGGTGGTGTGGAGCAACATGCTGTTTTCATGAGCGCCTGGGTGCAGACGGGCTGAGGCCTAAAATGGTGTCAGCCCCAAGTGAGGGTGAGGCTGGGGTTTTCTAATCTCCTGTAAATGGGACGTGTTCCAGTCTGATGTAACTGCTCCGTGGTACCTAGACGGCCTCTCTCCTGATCTTCAGGGGCTCCTTGTCTTCTGGCCTGCCCTCTTCTGGCTTCTGCTCGCTTGCTGACCCATGCTGCTGGTGCACGTGGTCTTGTACCTTGGGACCAAGCCTGAGGAGGGAGGAGTTACCCCCAAGTTTTCAGGCCCCGGGGAGAATCTTTCATTAGGGAGAGTAGGCTGGCTGATTCTTCTTTGTTAGGCACAACTTGGTTTTGCAGGTGCAGTGGGGTGCCTCAAGCTGAAAGCTTGACTCGTCGTACAGGCCATGTGGCCGTTCCTGTGGCTGCCAGGCCACTTTGAGGCTGAGAGAGACAGTTTTGTCTGGCTCTGTCCTGCAGATGTTTATGGATGCCTTCTCTGTGCCGGCACATCTGGGATCCACCAGAGAGGATCCCGTAAAGAGATCTCAAAGGTCTTTAGTCCAATGTATTTATCACATCATTTTCACAATCAAAGATGAATAAAATACAGAGGCATATTTAGTGATAAGGTTGATGGCACACCCGTGCTAGGCGGTGTTTTAGCTCCTTGAGGCACCAAGGAGTTGCGACAATCCTTTGCCTTAGAGTTTTGCATCTGTAAGTCCTGCTGTTGAGGGCTGTGTGCATCAAAATGTCTGATTTGGTCAGGCGGGATCTGGGCTGTCTGTAAGCTTAGGTGAGGGGAGGCTGGTGTCCAGCAAGTATCCAGTACCCCCTCAACACCCCAGTTCTGCTCCACCAACCTTCCAATTCTAGGACTGATGCGGAGGCCCTCAGAGTGACTTAAGAGGGGGAGGTATTCAGTGTGCTCTGTGGCTAGCTTGCTTGGGAGAGTAAATTGTAAATCCTCTGCTGATAAAACTCTGGGAACAAGTGGTGTTTCAGCTTGAGTTTCTCGTAAATGTCTTGCAGTTGTATAAACCAGAGTGTGTATCCCACAGGGCAACATGAGGGTCCCTCTGCCACCCTTTCTCCCAGCAGCCTAGGTGGGCATCTACACAGAATAATGTGTGCAGCCTCACTGGGTGAAGGTTTGCTATCTAACCGGAGGCAGGAGATAGCCTTGGTCTTATGAAGGCCTTGGGTGCGCAGCTCATTTCAGCCCTGATCAGCCTGATGCAGGCCCTGGGCCCTGGTTCTGGAAGTGAGAATACACCCTGGACTTCCACTGCATGGCTGGCACAGTGGGCATTCAGGTGCCTATTTGGGGACTGTTACCGAGTCCTGTGCCAGATGCAGTGGTGCAGAGCTGGGAGCCAAGGGTCCCTGCTTCTGCTGGAGAATCTGGGCAGATGTAAAGGCTTAAGGTTAGGGGAAGGGGTAGGGTTAGTGTTAGGGGTTAAGGATAGGGTTGGTGTTGAGGTTTGGGGGTTGGGGTCAAGGGTCAGGGATTGGGGTAGGGGTGGGGTTCGGGTCAGGGGGTTAGGGTTTAGGGTTAGAGGTTAAGGTGGGGATAGGGGTGGAGGTGAGGGTAAGGGTAATAAGCAGATTAGTAAAAGCAATTCTGCTTCACTTCAGTAACAACCTTCTCCAACTCATTTTGTCTCAACAAACTTATTTTTCCGGCAGAAGAATCCCAAGCTTCTTAAAGCACCCAGTGATTTTTCACACCTTGAATCTGTGAAATCCTCATGTTTTCTTCTACCGTATGCATAGTTCAAACATACAAGATAAGGCAAACCCAGACGCCTTCCTGAACAGACCCAAGAAATTCCTCTCTTTCTCTCTCTGGAACAAAATGAATTCTCTAGACCATCAGTACTAACCTTCAAAAGCCAAACCTGTTTGTGAGATCTCCTTCAGATACTACTGTAGACCCAAGTGTTTATATTTATATGATATTATTTTAGTATTTATATTAATATAAGGGAGAACGTTTACATCTGTCTATGCCACATGTGCCTCTGGCTTATTGCCCAATTAATTGTAGCCTCAGGCTAAACTTTGGTTTCTGTTTCTAATTTTTGTCAGAATAAATAGAACTGATCTCCAAACATCTGCTTTTGTGGTAGGGACTCGGGCTGCCACCTCCATTCCTCTCTCTTTTCTTGCAGTCTGCGTGGAAGTTGTTTCATGTGGACGTTTTGACCTTCACCCTCCTGTGTCCCCTGTCAGCACATTCAGGCTTACCCAGCCAGGGCTGTCATCTTAGGCCAGGGATTTTTTTAGGGATCTTTATTTTGCTGTGATACGGTTGGCACCCCTTTGACTCACTTTATCACTCCAGGGCTCTTTTCATTTTAGGAGCCCAAGAGGGCAGAAAAAGCAGTAGGTGAGCAATTAAACCCTCCGAGTCAGGAGAGTGTCCCCTTGCGTTAAGCAACATTGCAGAACATCGTATGTCACAATCTCCTAGCAGATGGGCCAAGCAGCTGCTGAGTACACATGCCCGCTTGCTGCTGTGAGCTCAGACTCCCTCATTAGTCTTTTCTATCCCTGGAGGGAATTATAAGGGCCAGCTAATAACCTGTAAGTCATAGAGAGTTAAAGGTGTTTCCCCAAAACACTGAGGACAGAATGAAAGGTGAGGAGTGTTAGCCACAGCTCAGAAGTGCAGGAAAGTCTCTGGATGTGGGTTGTTGGAGAAATGCAGGTCTTTTTTCTTTTGGAAGTGTCCCTAGAATGGGGTGAAGGACTCTGCCCATTCTAGGATGAATAATTGGGATATTAGACACCCTCGGATATTTATCCCAAGCCTTCATTTAGGGTTCTTAATGAGTTTGTTCAGCCATCACAGTCTCAAATGCTAAGTAGGACATTGGAATCTCTCCACTGTCCAAATTAGCGCTGTCTTTTAACGTTGAGTTTCTCATTATTCTCACTTGATATACCCGATGTATCCCACACTCACCCTAATAACACATCGTGCTCACTGTTACCTTTGCAACAAGACTTGAATTTTGCTTAGCCTGGAGGAGCGCCTTCACATGTCCAGACCCAGTTCTGACTCATCCTTCAGCCCTGCATCAGTCAGTGGGGGCTAGGTTAAACCACGGTAACAAGCAACCTCCAAGTTTCAGTGGCTCAAAAATCTTCTTCCTCATTTATTTGCATCTCATCATGGGTCAGGTGAGAGGTCGCTCTGTGCTGTGGTATCATCCTAACACAGGAATCGAGGCTGAAGGAGGTACCATCAATAAGACAAAAAGCATGCTGGATAGAACTCTGTTTCTTAGAGATTTTTTCCTGAAAAAGTCGCATATTATTTCTTCTCATCTCCGATGGCAAAAAAAAAAAAAAAAAAAGGTTATGTGGCCATGCAAAAATGTAAGTAGGTGGGATGGAACAGTCAGAATGCATTCATAAAAAAATGAACTGAAAATATTTGGAGAACAGTGCCAATGACTACCGTGAATGCCAGCATGCATTCCTGACAGCCCAGCGTTGCTACTCTTCACACTTCTTCTGTCTTGCAAAGTATTAGAACTTCTTATCTGAAGCCATGTGCAAAATACATAATGACGTCTCCTTTAGGATGTCCTTAGAGAATTGAAGGAAAAGAAGTTAAATAATCCAAAAGTGCTTTTGGGCACAGCTATTTAGCACTAGAGGGTAAGATTAGAGATAGATTGTAAAGATCATAATAGGGTTAGGGTTAGAATTAGGGTCTGGGTCAGGGTCAGGGCTGGAAGTATGGTTAGAGGTGGGGTCATGGGCAGGGTCAAGATAAAAGTTAGGGTCAAAGTCAGGGTCAGAATTAGGGACCAGGGTATGCATCAGGGTTTAAGGTCAGAGTCCAAGTCTAGGGATAGGGTAAGGGTTAGAACCAGAGCTTTGTTCTCCTCAGGACCCACCCAAGAAGAGGCCATGGCTTTAGAGCACCTGGTAGTTGTCCGCAGTGAAGACCAAAGTTTCATTCTCCTCAAGTCTGACCTGGGGGGACGTGGCTGCAGGCCACGTGAGGAAAGTGAGGCAAAAGCTTTTTGTCTGCTCCCCGTATGCAGAGGGAGGAACTGTACTTTCACACATGACGTTCTGCAAGTCTCATTTTCAGAAGCATCCC